AATGAGGTATTGCGTTCGGGAAATATTTACATTTCCTACACAATAGTCCCCTGATTAACAATTTGGAAATTTTAAGTTATGATAATTTGAGCATTGTGTAAAAGGAAAGAACTAATGCGGAATTAAAATTAAGGGTCGAGTATACCCCTCGACTATAAGACATTGCTTTGTTGAGTCTTCCAACTACTAAAAGCTACTAAATAATCTTCTAATTATATGGTGTTGCTTTAATGAGTCCCATGATTATTAAAAGTTACAAAATGGTCACCTAACTATTTATATGTTCCAAACTCGTTTTTTTCTGTTAAAAATTGACGTTAGTCTGAGCTAGACGTTAATATGTTGATTCAGATATGCTAAAAATATGATCCTAAGATCTCAAACGACTATCATATCTCAATCAACATGTTAACGTCTAACTCAGACGACCGTCAATTTTTTATCGAAAAATGTTGAGTTTGGAACATATGAATAATCGGGGTGACCATTTTGTAACTTTTAGTAGTCAAGGAACTCAACAAAATAGTGTATGTAGTCGGAGGATCATTTTGTAACTTTTAATAGCCAGGGGACTCGATGAAGTAACACCCTATAGTCGGATGACCATTTGTCTACTTTACCCTAAAATTAATTGGTTTTATATTTTCCGCTTTTATTTGGTTGGATTTGATCATTTAAAAAATTAATTTAGCTAACCAAATTAGAATAAAAGTATAATTTTTAATTAATTTTCAATTACATATTTATTTTAAGAATGCTGAAGTTTGAATTATAATATATATTTTTTAAATTGAAAAGAGTGTCTCAAAGAGTTACGAGCTGATTCTCGAGTATGTTATCTCTTTCTAACAACACTTGTACTGTCGGTGGAGGGTCAGCATATACTGTCGTGGTAAAAACTCCATGGTCGGCCAGTTTTGCCATTGCGTCAGCAACAGTGTTTGCTTCTCTCGGTACTCATTGAATGGTGGTTTCCCAGCTGCTGTCAGTTCGTAGCTTGTGGATTTCACGAACGAGCGATAACGAATTTGTTGCAGCACCATCCTGGCTAATAATGTGAGTAACATTTAGGCAGTTCGATTGAATTAATAATTGACGTACGTATGCCTTTAGTCCAAGCTAGCTTCAATCCAATGAGGATACTCCAAAGTCCTGCTTGTAGAGCATGTGTAGCCAAGGAATTTGTTGAATCCAAGCGTCCAAGTGCCTGTACAATCTCTGATTACTCCTCCTGCAGTGCCAACAGTTGTGCTTGCGTTAACAGCTCCATCAACATTCAGACAGAGCCAATAGGTCGGTGGTTTCTCCCACTCCACAAACAATGGTGGCCGAACTAGAAGACTTCTAGGCGGAGCAGCGCATCCATTGAAGTGTTGCGCATACGCTAGGCCTGTTCAGAAAACCTTGTCTGTGGATCCACAGTTGCTGTTGAAGATAAATTCATTTCTTCGCTGCCAAACCACAAGAGAGAAACAAGTATCATAAAGGAGAGTCTTTGTCTTGATGTTGTAGAGTATCCAGTCCTTCAAATCAAGATCGAAAAGATTCGTAGACGTGTCGTGACAGTATTTTCTTCCATAGTTGTTGTATGGCATGACAATCTCGTAGAGCATGCAAAATTGACTCTCGATAAACTACGCTTGTATCGTTCGGAGTTTTTCATAATTCGCTGGTGAGCTATCATCCAAAAGAATAATTTATTCCGCTGAGGAACTTGCATTTTCCATACAATACTCCATTTTGGGTTTTGATTTGTCCAAGTGTCTTCAACTAAAGCTTTGTAAGCGGATTGTGCATTAAAATCAAGCTTTGGCCCCCATTTCCAAATGATTGACGTTTAGGAATCAAAATTTTGCATCCATTGAAGTGTTGCGCACACGCTAGGCCTGTTCAGAAAACCTCGCGCAAATAATTCGAAAAAGTTTTGGTACAAATTTGAGTTAGGCTTAAGTATCAACCCGAAGACTCTGTATAGCACCATCGGTATATAAAACCCCAACCCGATTGTCTCTTTGTTTCTCCTACATCTTCATCTGCCCCAAAACTCAATCGGAAAGCTCTCCTTGTTTATCATTTTTCCCATACCCTGAAACCTTAAGCTCTCTGAATTATACTGCATAATACTTTGTTAGGCTTGCTTCATTTTTGGAATTATTAAATTGAGTTTGCCATGTATATGCTTGATAGTCGTATTTCAATCTGGGATACTCGAAAGGTCTGTTAGAGTTACCAAAGAAGTAATGGCGAACATCTAGTACATGTTTTGGAATGTGAAAGCATGGTTTACTTTGGGGGGCAATGCGAGGTTTTTTGGTTTTGGTGTTCAGTACTTCATGTACCAAGCACAAGGTTTATGAATTGTTGTCGGTTTTCTGGTACGGAGGCTTGTTGGGAGCAAAAGAGAACGAAGTAAAACTTCTGAAGGAATTATGATAAGTTTTATTTTCTATTAGGAACATATACAATAATTATAGGCTATATATTATACCCTTTAATATGCTGCTGGTGTTGAATCAATTGAGCACTTTTAAAACAAATAGTAGATGTGTTTTCGATTTAGTAAGCATTGTTTGCTTTGGGAAGTAGTGCTAGGTTGTTTGGTTTAGCTGTATTTTATACCAAACACAATGTTTGAGATTTGCCGCAGGTTTTGTTAAGCTTGTTAGGTGTAAAAGAGCAGAAATAGAAAATTTTGAAGAAAGCATGTTGACAATTTTTATGTTTTACATATCATGTTATCATAGCTTTTAATATGCTAATGGTTATGAATCAATTATGCAGATTGCAGATGGGGGCCTTCAAAATCTTTGTGTCCAATGCTTTATCTTTGTTATAATTAACACCTAGTGCCGTCCAGATACGTTATTTGTAGATATGCTTGAGCAAATTGACTTGTAGGGTGGTTTGTTTAATTGTTTTTGATGTTTGTGCGCATATAGCACAATTATAGATTATTTTTCACCCAAAAGCTTTCTGGTTATTTTCTCACTTTTCAGCTGAGTTGAATCTGAATTGGTTTTCCTTCCATTTTTTTATATATAATTAGCCAAAATGGTTAAACCCAAAATTTATTAAGCATTTAATGTGAATAAATTAGTTGGCCCGTCTTATGTATCGAAAGAAAAATGTCTTGAGATCGTCTGTGATTTGGTTTTCTTTAAATGTAAACACAAACTATAAACTATGATATATTTGTACCTTCTCACTTTAGCTTCAATATGTTTGATCAAAATGTATTTGCTTTTGTTTTATTTGTGCATGTAGGGGTCTGCAACCATGCATTCCACTTCCATTGCATCAGCCGATGGCTCAAGACTCGTCAAGTGTGCCCAGGGTAAGGCCCTTGTCCTCCCATTGAGTATCTAGCTTGGGTATTTTCCCCCATGGCATTAATCTCTTAAGTTGTCTTTTCTTTTGCAGATAATAGCGAATGGGAATTCCAAAAGTATGGCCACTAGACCGCATTTGGGGCGGTAGCCTTTTACCTTCCTGGCATGTTGAAACAAGAAATCCCATTTCACCACCTATTTTGTTGCTTTAATATTTTAGAAAGGAATTTGAACAAATATTATGACAGTTGGTCCTAATTTTCATTTTACATGCACCCACTGTAATATAATCAAAACTCTGTTTGCATGTTGGGCGAATGTGTTCAAGGAAAAAAAATGTGGACCTACTCAATTCATTATGTGCGGTTATTATTTATTTTTAATCGCATTAAATTAATTATGCTATAAATAAAGAAATTAAATTATTTTTTAGTAATTTAATTTTATTTTTTAATATTTTTATTTTGAATATTTAAAATTTAAAATAATTTTTATTTTTTAAAAATTAAATAACACCTTAACTTTTACAAAATATCAATTCAACCCTCAAACGAGATAAAAATAATAATTTAACTCATTTGTCACATCATTAGTCACTGTGAACCTCGATGTCAATACTTTTACCCATGACGACATCATCATAACGTGAATGACTAAAAACGTTGATTAAATGGCCATATTAGGTATAAAAATAGTTCCAATGTCACATTTATTTTTTTTCAAAAGTACATACATTTTTAGCTAAAAAAATTAAAAAATTAAAAACTTTTACAGAAAAATCCTCTATTATCTTTTATCCGAATGAAACTACTATTTTTCTTTAAATAATTTTTCAGTAAAATCGACTTCATAAAATAATAATAAAACTCATTCTCCAAATTTTCACATTAAATATTAGTGAACACACCAAAAATTTGATCAACTTTTAATTTTTTTCCTTTTTGTTATATTAAAACATATACAAGAATTAAATTTACATACGAAGATATATATATATATATATATATATATATATATATATATATAAAGTTAGTTAAAAGATTAAACTTATAATAAGAACACGTTACTTGGTGCGAGTAAATTCATACCTACTTGAAAATAATATTATTTTTAAAATTTTAAAATAATTAAATCAAATTATTTAGTTTTTAAATAAAATTAGGTAAGGTTATCGCGAAAGGAGCCCAAGTGCAATGAAATCGGCTCTAACGACCACCGTTTACACCCAAGACGACACCAACTCATCCCACCTCCGTGATGCACCCTATGGTTTGTTACTCCACGTTATCTGTTCTGCCCATCAAACTATTTGTTCCATTATCATCAACTATTTTTTTTCAAAATTATATCTAATATTTAGTTTAATTTTATTTTGGTCATCCACTATTAAAAAATTAACGCTAATACTGATATATCACAATAAAATAATATCACATCATCACTGATAAAAATATTTTTTTTAAAACAACACCACATCAACAATTTTGTTAGTTCTCGAACAGAGAGCGGTCAAAATAAAATCAAAATTTAACGTTAAGTATGATTTAAGAAAAATAATTAGATGACCAAAATAGAAAAAAGTGATAATTGAGGGCACTAAAATTGTAGCTTACTGAAATATTTATAGATAGGCTGACCCGAACAATCGGAAATGTTGATGATATGATCATAAATCCAAATCCCAGCATGTTGTTTGGACACATGCTTTCGGGGAAACAAAATGAGATGTATAGCAAGAAATGGAATTGCACTAACAACAGGTAGTGTCCCAGGGAAACAATACAGGTTCCCAAGCACCAACGACATCCTCAATTCATTGCCAATAAGTCAGACCAGACCAAGGATAGACGGATTAATCCCGAAAATCACAACTAATGTCACCAGCAAAGCAACAAGCTCGTTAGTGATAATATAAAAAATAACACCATGACCAAAAACATGACAACTTCAATCTAGATTAATGATGAACAATATAAAGTTTGGAGATGCTAACATTATCTGAACTTGCCAATCTTCACTAATCACGCTCACTAATAGCCGTCAAATGTTCATCGATTTCTTCAGTTGACAATGCTCTGAAAACTGGATTATCAGCTTTCACTACTCCGACCTGCCAAAGATCGAACAAGTAAAGTCAACTCACAATTATAAGATAACAGATACTTAAATCACTAAATGGCTCAGTTACTTGTACCTCAATCTCAGTAGCCTTGAAATCCTCTTGAAGAACAGATTGCAGAGCGGAAATCGCAGTCTGGGAAAAGCAATGGGACACAACAAACAAATTTGATTATTTTTAGCCCATGTTAATAATGTAGTCTTTAGCAATATTCTTTACCATACATGACGAAAATACAGGCTAATAGAAAACTTTTACCTGAACTGTTTCCTCGTAAGTAAAAGCAGGGTCATTCTTCATTTTCTTTTCCAAGAAATTAATTGCCTCTTGTTCTTTCGATCCAGCACTGGTTGCCTGTATTAGCAAAAAATTATTCAAGGGAAGAAAAAAGAGTATCCTAAAATTGATCAAAAAGAATTTTTAATTCATGCTATTTCACCAACCACTTCACTGGGGGAACAAACATGCTACTTCAATGCTTTTAGCGACGGACAAAGAAAATTATAGTTAATATAACTGAAATACAGTTATGTGGGAGCAAATTGTTGTGTAACTTTAAATTATTGGACAATTCCCATTCTCACAACTCCTTGCTTGCTAAGCCACCTTCTGAAATTTGTAGTAGTTGTTGTGGTTTTTCATGCATAAGCACATAGTAAACAAAAAGGAATAGCAAATATATTTCTACACTGGCATTGTAAATAGTAATATAGGCAAAGAGAACTATTAGAGAAAAACAGCAACAAGTAATAATCAAAACAAAACATATGACTTCCGGAACCTAGCATTTAGAACCAGAACAAGAATTATTAAGAGATTGGAATGGCTGTACCCTTTTGACTTTTTCAGAGAATGTTGGTCAAGGAACTCCTCCACTTGCTGAATTAAAAGCTATAAAAAGAGGCATTGAATTTTTTTTGTCATCACGTTGGGAGTCTATTGGTAGGTTGATCGTTGAGAGTGATTGTTCGTCGGCAGTGGAATGGATTCATTCCCCGGTTCTGGCCCCAGTTTTTTTATCGCATCTAGTTTATCAGATTTCTACTCTTATCACGGGAAAGGTTCATTCAGTGAGGTTAATTCCAAGGGCGTGCAATGGAGAGGCAGACAGTTTAGCAAAGAAAGGGATAGGTTGACTGTGTGAGATGATTATTATGGCAGTTGGAGTGTTTAAGTATTATGTACTGGATTTTAGTGTAATTGTTAAATCTTATGTAATCTTTCAGTATCAATAAAAGTTCTAAGGCACTCTTTTCCTCCTTCCGCTGACCAAGGAGCTTATTCTAAAGCTCCATTAATCAAGAAGGGGGTTTTTAACGAGGCCTTCCATTCTTATCCAAAAAAAGAACCGGAACAAGAATCCAAACTCAACTAGCAATAAAAATTCATTTGAAAACTACCTTGTGACCATAAAAATGGCCAGCTGGGTCGCACTTGTAGAGTTGGGGTCCCTTCTCTTCATCAATGCCCAAAACCATAGCAACTTCACAAAAAAGGTACAAACATATTAAGGGAAGCATAGGGTAATGTTAGGGAAAATTACTTGGGGACATACATTAGCACATATTCACACACGTGTTAACAAACTAAAAAATTCTAAGTCTCGTATAACCAAAATTATATTTGTAACATTTAGAAAAAAACCATACACTTACCAACTCCAAGAGGTCTCATATAAGCATGTTGAGTATAAACCTGTGATTTGTCTGCAATCCTATTTCAATTAAAAGCAATTCGAGCTAAATTAGTTGTGGGTAATTGACAAGGACAGGAGTCCTAAACATCAAAGAAAACTCAACGATGAGTTCAAAAGAATAAATGTGACGGGATGGATTTGTTCATTTTTTATGAATGAACTAGTGAAATAAAGAGAACATGCCCCCATCTCGATATTAAGAAGAGCAGTAAAGAACAAGGTCATAAAATGTTTCAAACATAATAACTAGTGTCTCTGTCTCTAAACTTGTTCAAACATTAACTAGATGAGCTCTATAGATGCAACATTCACCGATTGGAAACACTAAAGATCAAAAAGTTCCATTAAATAAGATATAGCATACCATTTGGACAATACATCAACAGGTATCTCATATCCATATCTGAACCGAAACTCAGCTGCTTCATTCCTTGCTTGTTGGACCATGGTCCTAGCATCAGCTGAAGAGTATCATACAAATCTTATCAAACCATTCCTCCTAATGAACTTTCAAAGGTAAGTTAAGCCAGCCATAAAGTTTCTTTTTATCTTTCTCAGTTCTCTTTCACGACTTTCTTGAGTATTTCTTGTTTTCAAGTTAAGGCAATGCTGTCAAAGGCCCTAGGTGCTTAAACCCTTATATTGCCTCTGGCGCATATATATAAATATATATAAAGCTCAAGATGTAATAAACTCTAAAGTGGAGTCTAGTTTATCTACAACACATGTAATATTTTTATTGGATAATATGCATGATTTCCTTATGGTCCATTTTTGTTGTTGAATGCTCAAAATTGCGAAGTATAGAGCTTGATATTTTCCTTGTATAACTAGTAGAAGTATACAAAATAAAACAAAGTGAAAAACAAAAGAAATTAAAGAGAATCAATCAGGAGTGCTTTTTTATGCCTATCGTCTTCAAAAATAGCGTGCACAAATGAGCCTGGACAGCACTTCTGTTGAATAATGCTAAGGCATCAGACGACTAAGAGCACACCTTGACAACACCGAACTAAGGTTCCCCTTTTGGTGTTTGTTAATAAGCCTCATGATTGTGATTTGAGGAAAAATGAATGAAAGATTGTTAATATGCAGAATAGCAGAATGAAAATTAGGAATTTTTAAAAACCAAATGTTGACTGATTGTAAGGGTGAAAAGAGGTGTATTATTACAACCTAGAATCCTTAAATATCACCAAAACTATAGTTCACTTAGCCAAGACAAGAAAATATTGATAATTCAAATCATCAAAAGAAAATGATGAAGAAAAAAAACATGTTTCTAAGTAAACCTGTCATGCCAGTAGCTACCAACCCAAGATTCTTGGTAATAGCGAAAAGATGAGTGACACTAGTCTGATCCAAAAGCTTATCCTGCATCGCAATCATTAAAAAAAATTGAATACCCATATCAAGAAAAACGCTTAAGACACTCAATCCAAAGATAAAACCCAGAAAACATAAAGGAGAGAACGAACGGGAACTTTCTTCTGAGTAACAACACAGACGGAATCTTTTCCACGAACGCCAATCGATGTGATCCCAGATGCTTTTACTGCTTTAAAAGCATACTCTGCCCAATTTAATCGAAACAAAAATTGAGTAAAAAAACCTTATTATAAATAAGAACTTCAAAAGACCCACAGAAGAAGAGGTGACAGGGTGAATATACATACCGACTTGGAAAAGACGACCTTCAGGAGAGAAGATGGTGATATGTCGATCGTAGCCACCTCCACTTCCTCTGCTCATTTTCCCCCTTCGGTTTTTGGATTTTTTTCCTTTTTTTGGGTGCTTCAAATGTGCAGTGAATTGATGCCGAAGAAAAGAGAAAGCTGTTTACATATAAAAAATGATAGAAAACTTTTTCCCCAAGACTCGATGCCAACTGCTAAGCACTTCACGCTATAACTCGCTGAGTTAACTCGAGGAATTTATATTAGGGTAAACTCTAAGGATGGTACCTTATGTATCGTGGTTTATCCGATTTTGGTCATTAATTTTAAAAAACTATGATTTTAATCCCTTATGTTATCGGTCCTTTTGGTTATGGACGTCAATACTGAAATCAATACCATCACCATTGTCTTCATTATTGTTGTCGTTGTCCCGAATATTGATATTACCAACTGCTAATATATCTTTCTTGTCGAAAGTGTTCTTGTTTTTTGCATCAAAACCTTGAAATCTCCTCTGTCGACCCCTGCTTCATAGCAAAACTCTTCTATCAATCTTTATTCCCTCTTTGCCACTCTCCAACCAAGCCTCTCCGCAAAAGCATGCATCGTTTCTTTCTGTACTCCTTGGTAAACTTTATTCTTGACCGCTTCTTGGGTTGTTATTGTTTATCCTGGGCACCCGAGGATAGGAACTGTTGAGGTGATGATGGTACTCATCCAACGGCCCGGGACCCAGAGTAAGTCGTGGTCAAGACCAGCAGCATGTGCGGTGCAGAAGTACCGTAGTAAGAGTATGGCACAGGTGAGGGCAGGGTAGAGCTTGGACCCGTTCTATGGTTGGGGCTTGGACTAGAGCTTGTGTTAAGTGGAAGTGGAAGGCGACGGATGAAAGTAGGGCCATCGTAAGGGTCACGGCGGTGAAAGTTGTTGTGGCAACCACATGCGGCACATTTCAAAGAGGAGGGGTCAGATGGGGTGGCAGAAGGGCTAGACATGAACCCTCCACAACCATCGAGGGCATGTCCACCCAAGATAGCTGCATGGTTTTTGAGGTACTCTTTGTAAGAAAGCACCATTGGTGATAGATGATGTGGTCGGTGCAGAGAAATAATATGGACTTGGGTCTCAAAAATTAGGACTAATCTTATGGGTATGGGGTGCCCCATTTGCTCAGAAAGGGAACTAGAAAGGGGTGATGATGCCTTGACGTGGTGAATTAGGAGGACGGTGGGGACCCTTTTGTGGGGTTAACATTTTCTTGGTTTATCCTATATGAGTTTTGGTTTGAGTATAATGGGTCAATATAAGAAAACATGTATTCTACGTGGGTGGAAATTGTATATGATATTCAAGATGTGTCATTCATCCGGGAAATGTAGTGACAAGGTGTTTTTTTATTTTTATTTTTATTTTTTGTGTGAAGAAGAATATAAATGCCATATGTATTATAGTTGATTGACTGACGTGGTTTTTTGGATTTTTTAATTATCACATAATATTTTTATTAATAGTTTAATGGAAGTTAATGATTGAGGGACAATATATATCAAAAAGATAATATAAAGGATCAAAATTACAGTTTTTTAAATCAATGACCAAAATCGGATGGACCAAAAATATAAGGGACCACTTGTTTAGTTTACCCTTTATATTATTATTTTAATGATTTAATGAAAAACACAGTAAAAATTTAAAAACAAAAATAAATTAATTACTCATGGAAATTTGCACCTCTATTAACGTTGAGGGTACGTTTGGTTCACGGAATGTAAGATTATCAGTGGAAATAAAAGATTATCAGGGAATAGGATTATTGGGAATGTTACATTACTGTGTTTGGTTGGTTTGGCAGGAATGTAAGATTATAATGTTTGGTTGAATGAATAAAAGATTACTGGAATGTATATTTTATCAAATTGTTCTTGTTCTATATTTGTTAACAAGTTAAATTCTAAATGTTTAAATAAAAATTATTTATATAAAAATTTTATTTGTTGATAATATATTACTTGAGTATTTAAAAATATCATGTATTATTTTATTTTAATTAATATTAAATTTTACATAATTTATGTAAAAATATATTAAAATTTTACATCAACATTTAACTAAATGTTTACATTGTGGAAACTAGCTTCGGTTCATACATGACGCATTCACTGGGAGGTTTCTTATATTTTCCAACCGACAAGGTTTACATTCTTCTATATACAATAATTTATCATAGATATTCATAATAATAAAAAGATGTAAATTATCTTTGTTATCTAAGATATAATATTTATTATATCTTCTATATACAATAATTTATTTATTTATCTTTTATATTTATACTTAATTATGCATACTTTATCATTATTATTTATCTCATGAATTTATATTACAAAAACATAATTCTAATAAGTAAGAAAATATAATACTAAAAATCATATTGTCTATAAATTTATATTTCTTTATTCTCTTCCGCTGCCGGTTAAATTTCCTCTAATTTTAAATAAATTATAGTAAGTTTAGAAGTATATTAAGCATGGCATGTTGTTCCACTGAAAGACAATTGCATAATATTCTCTCTTTTTAATCCAAATGAACCTGGATTTTTATATGAAAACCATAAAAATATGAGTTGGAGAGATGTATAACATAGGGTTCAATTTCCTTCCAAATGTCATGGAAATTTATATCATTCGATGGTTTAAGCCCAAGACGACATAATCCAGACACAAAATTTCTCAAAAAGTGAATACTTATAGGAAGACAGAATCCCTTCACATCTACTACCAGAGCATGCAAGGACATTTTATTGGATGAGGCATCCATGTTCAACCTTACACCTGAAGGATCAGTTGCAGTACAAGGAAAAATTGCAGTATCTTATAAGTAATTCAAATTTCCCAACCAATCTAATACATGTCAAAAGAAATTTTCCCAAAGCGGGATCTTCACTAGGCAATTACCACGACCATGCGAAGAATAGAGAAAATGATGTAGTGGAAGGTCATCAAAAGTGCAGCAAACTAGTTGTCCTAAAACATAATTAGCCATTAGGTACATGCTTCAGATCCTTACAACTCAAGTGAAGAGGACTTAGGTAACCGGGTTCAAATGACAACATTTGGGAGTGAAATGGAACACAACGCAAGAGTTTGGAACAGGGCATTGCAGCAGTCCTTCTACAATAGTCCCTAGTATTTTGAAGCAAGGGCACTGTAGTGACCCACTTGCTGTCAAAACTTCAATGCCTCAGCACTGCAGTACCCGTATCAAATGCTCCAGCCAACAATGACATCTCTATCCCTACATTTTCCAAATCTAAAAGTTATATGTTTCCTAATTTGACATTATTTTTATCCTTTATTATTAAAATTATTTTTAACTGCCATGTCTTGTTATACCAGTATCCTAATGTTTTAGCAATCTTGTGTCCTTGTGTCTGTGTAGTCTTGCACACATATTGTGTGTCCATGTTCAATCTATTACATTTGAATGCACACTTTTAATATATAGACTTAAGATGGCTACTACAATTATCATCATTCATCCAAGTAGTAAGGCTAGGGGGGAAAATAGCTTACAAACATAATTTGACATTTACTTGAGCATTATTACTGAGAGATCTCTGCAAGCATGAAGGCCAGCCAGAACTAAGGAACTCCTATTGCCTGCCAAACCAAGTTCAAGATCTTGCTCAATTGATTTTGGCTTCTCAACATCAGCTTCATGCGGCGATAAGGTGGTCAAGGGTTTCAATGTTTCCTGGGACATTATGTTGCATGTAATTGTTTGGGTTACGTTTAATCTCTTTTTTCTTGATCTAACAGAAAAATGTGCAATCTGTCAACAAATGTAAGGCTTGTCAAAGTAGAGGTTCAATTAACTTGAAAGTGTAATTGTGACAATGAAATCCACGTAAATGTTAAAAAATAAAGGAAGTTGACTCCCTAACATACCCAAGTTAAAAAAATAAAGTGTAATTGTGACAAAGAAATACCGTTCTATTGTTCCCTTCTACGTTGCCAAATTAAAACAGAAATGTGAAGTGAAACAGAATTTTGCTCAATTCAGATCAACCTCATTTGACCCTTCCCCTAGTTCCTCCAAATTGTTGTTAGATCCTGGCTCTGTTTCATATCAACATAACTTATGTTACATAATTGACATTTATTGTCATCGAGAACCAAGAATCACATAATTTCAAATTCTAGAACTGGGTAGAGTCATCAGGATGGGCAAGGGAAAGGGAAATTGCATTGCCTGAACTCGAATCACAGTCCGACATATAATCGAGTTTTTGCAAACTATGCTAGCTGGAATACAAAATTCGGACTTCGGATAGAACCTAAAGCACATATTTATGTTAAATTTATGCATCTAAAAGCAAAGATTAAAATTTGCATCAAGAAGCAACCTTTTCCGTAGATTATCATCCAAAAAAATCCATTTTTATATTGGAAGCAAACAATCTAAAATATACAGAGAGCTAAAAGAGACCACTTGAATCATCCCCCTTAATCAATTATTTTCTATGGACAAGAACCAAATAGAGAAGCAATAAAATCCCACAGAAATCAACGAAGCCACTAATAAAACTAAAAAAATGATCCCATAGAGAAATATTCTCAAATTTATAGAAACTAAATGAGTTAATTGAGATAATTTACTCAAAGAACTTAAAAGACAACCATGTATAACTTCAGTAAAATTTTCCAATCAACCAAACAAATGATGAAAACAACAAGAAATCAACCAATAAGCTTTAAAAACCGAATCCACAGATTTAACGACCTTTCATTTCGAATAGCAAGGTTGAGGAGAAGAAAAGAAAGGTAAAGATAAAGTTTCTCTCATTGCTAGGAAAATAAAAGAAAGGGAGTGAAGAAGAAATCTTACCAGTAGAATCTCAATGGAAAACGATGAATTTTTTGCAGAGGCAAACTCACGGGAGAAGAACATATCGTAGAAATAAGCTCACGGGAAAAGAAGGGTATTTTAGCCCTTAGCACCGGTAATAATAAAATACCTAAGACATATGTGGGAATAACATTCCCGGAATAAACACACTAAAAATTACTGTTGGTATTAATTTATTACCCTCACTTGGGAATCTTACCCAACCAAACATGGGTATCCATAACCAGGAAAAAAAAATGCCTGTTGGGAATGAACAAATCCTTGATCCAAACGGGTCCTGAAAGTAATTTTTTTACTGATGTAGTTAATGGATATTAGGGGTGCGTTTGGTTCACAGAATGTAAGATTACCAGTGGAAATGTAATATTACCAGGGAATAGGATTACTGGGAATGTTGTATTTTGTGTTTGGTAGGCTTAGCAGGAATGTAAGATTATCGTGTTTGGTTAAAGGAATAAAAAATTATTGGAATGTATATTTGACCAAATTGTCCTTATTATATATTTGTTTTTTTAACGAGTTGGAAAATATTTATATATTTTCTTTAAAAAATTTAAATTCATAAAATTTATATATATTTTTTTTACAAAATTTAAAATATAAAAAGGTTTAATGAAAGGGTAAAAATTTTATTTTAACCCTTGAACTTCATATAAATTTTTAATTATAGACTTTTTTGTAAATCTAAAATAGTTTAAGGATAAATTTTTAATTTAACCTTCGTATAATTTTTATTATTCAATGACAGAAGAAAGATATTTTTGGGGAAAAAAATTAAGGGCATTTTAGTCCAAAACGTCGGTAATCCAACAATACCTAAGGAAAGGAAGGTAATGACATTCCCGGTAATATACCCAAAAAAATCCACTATTGATAATCTTACATTGCCGGAAATGAGATTCCCGGACTAACCAAACGGGGGAATGTGGATTCCATTCCCATGAGAATCTCACATTCCCCCATCCAAACACCCCCTAGGGGTATATATTGAACGAGTTAATTATGAGTGAAGTAGTGTTTGATTTGATTTGAAAATTATTTAATTTGTATTGATTTGATCAGTTTCTCTTTAAATTCGATAAAATTTTATTTGATTCGTGCTCGTTAAAAAAATTCATTATTCTTTAAACTTGTAAAATTTTTACCATATATTTTAAAAGTTTATATG